GAAAATCTCCCCAACCCTTCTTTTCCCACCGATGTGGGACAAAAGATTTGCCAAATTCAACAATTGGTGCCTTTAATGCACTCTAGCTTAACTACCCCGAGGTGATTAAACGTCGTATCTGTAAAATGTCCTTCAACATCAAGATCCACCGGATATTTTGTTGTTGTTCTATCTTCTGTTTGTTAAAACATCCCTTTATTGGAGCTTTTCTGGGGCGAGCTAAGAGATGAACATATAACAGCTTATGCAAATTGGAAATCTTGTGTTGTGACTACCATAGGGAGGGTCTTTACTCCTGATTTGTTATCCTATAATTCTGTGAAGCATATGCAGTAGAAATTTTATCCACTTCGAACAATCCACTAGCAAAACCATGTGCCAAAAAGTGTATATTTGTGCCAAACACAATTAATGGTTGCAGCAATATGCCAAATTGACACAATCTTTATAGCCCATTTTGGTTGCTGCAATTAAGTGACAGACATTTACTGAATGTATAGTTGTATTCAGATAAAATTGTGTTCCTGTTATTTCTCCTAATGTTGAGTTTTGCTAGGAAAGAGTGGTATTTAGGTTTTCAGTTTCCCTTATTTCTTCTTTTTGGGTAATATATGTGGTTTGAGATCACTATATGTTGTGAATGCACGAGAAATCTGTAAAATAATCATAGGTTACACATTGCCAAACTCCTCGATTCTACAAGGATCTCATGTGTTTTTGTAACACTCCTCAAATCTATAGAAGTTTAAACACTCGCTAAATAAAGAATTAAAAAGGAAAGAAAAAAAGAGAGGAGGGCCCATATAATGGCCGAAAACGTAGTCTTTAGGGCAAAAAGCTTGAAAGCCTTAATCAAAACACAAGTCTGAAGGCTGAAAAGTCTTATAGGAACAAAATAGAAGCTTAAACTCACGCAAGCCTCATACAAAAAAAAAGAGGAACAGAACGAGAAACAGAGGCAACAAGACGATTTACGCAGGCAACGAAAATCCTAGGATTCTTTACAAAGTACTAATTCTTGAACCTAAGTATATAAAAGTTCCTATTGTCAATTATTCTTAAGTAGTAGTAGGTAAGAATTTAATAGTTAATTCCCTTCTTCCTCTGTATCAACATTAAATTTCATGTTTAGGTGTAAAACTTTGAAATTAATTAAAATGCATTGGTTGTTGTAGAATCAATTGTTTGACGGGTATAAATTGGACTGGGGCCCACGTATTGGCTCAAGGAGTTTTGAGGTGAGTTGATATAATCCTTTACTAAAGTGGTTTAACTCACAAAAGCACGCATACAAAGTGTTTGATGAATTGCATAAAAGAGTTAATATATACTTAATTGGAGTAGTAAGTACCTATTAGCTTAGGATTATTTTCTAGCTAAAGTTTAGATGATTATTTTGATATATGTGCATAAATTTCAGATTTTTGTGTTATTCTTATATGCGTTTTCATGTTGAAAATTCATGAAGAATCAAGAATCTTTATAAATATTTTTGAATGTTTATTTCATTCTTATGTCATGCCTTACATTTAAGGATACTAGTATGAGTATGTATAAAAGATTTAGACTTGAAAAGTCACAAGAAGAAGTTTAGAGCACCAAGTACAGCACTATTATCCACCTAAGGAAGAATAAACAAAAATTATCATATATCTGTTTAATGAGGATTTGAGGTATAAGAAAGCCACAAAATAAGGAGAAATAAAAGAGCCAATTGATTAAGACCTTGATTTCCAAATATTGTAAATATGGGAAGGTTCTCATGAAGCGGAAAACACACGAGACATTATATAGTTCACTCAGATAAAGACCAGAGAGGTAGAGACATTTCACAGAGTCAAAACGAAAGAGAAGCCCAGTCTGTAGTTCACCTGCAGCAGCCAAGACCTAGGATAAAAATGCCAAATTTAGTATGACTCAAAACCAAAAGATGTTACATCTACGTAAATGAATTATAATGAAGTTAGAAGCACATTTACCCTGACGCTATGGTTATCCAAGTGGAGATGTTTGAGAACAGAAAAAGAATTAAAAAACTTAGCAATACCATGACATTGTGCATCCGATCCATGCCATCCCCTAAAGGCAAGTGAAAATTTTGCAAGAAGAGGGATGTTTTTTAAGCAGATAGCATTTATATTGCCAGTGAAGTCGAAGGATTTCAGTTTGGGAGCATTAATTTCAATGATGCCGCTTGAAAAATCTAACATTTGCAGCGCTAATTGCTCGAGCAACGGACATCCGGAGATTAACCTTCCAAGCAACTCGGGCGAAACTTCAACACAACACAGTTTCATGCTAATTAACATTTCAAATCCTTTGAAGGATGGTGGAGGAAGTATTTTACAATCTTCGAGAGTCAGATGCCTAAATTGCAAGCAATTGAAAAATGAAGAAGGCAATTTTGATCGGCAACAATAGATTACTGGAAGTTGAAGAAGAAATGTTCCATGCCATTTTTAGCGAGGAAATCTATCAATTTGACAGGTAAGGAAAACAGAGGTTCAACTTCGTCACGGGGCATGCATGAAATGTCAAAATAAGGAATGCGGAGGATACACTTTGTAACTGGTCCTTCATGAAAGGTCAAAATGTGGTTGACAATCTTCTTAGAATCTCAGCTTTCCANAACCCCACAAAAAAAAATCAAGTTTTAAGCAAAACCCAATTGAATTTTAGCTGATTTAATTATACCCAAAACATAAAAATACAATCTTGATTTAAACCAAAACCATAAAAGCACATGAGTAGTGTGTTGACATTAATGAAGAAAGCTGTAAAAAAAAAAGGGAAGACAGAGAACCTGAGGACGAATTCTGAAATGCTCATTACATCTATAACGTAAAGAAAGAATTAAAAAGAAAATACACGTGACTTCACACCATAACAAAAATTGGCCCATGTTTTTAAGTTTTACCCGACCTAGCCCATATTATACATATTTTAAAAATAATAGCTCTTGCAAATTCAAAATTTGTGTTCTTACAACTATTGCTTTTAAAAGCTATGGAGTTAAATTTATGTTCTCACAACCATTGTCTTCATTCTCTCTTCTTCTCACATCTTTTACATATGCTTCAAAGAGCCGTCCGCCATTACTGCGCTTCTCCCCATACGTCATCTGGTTGCAATTTTAAAAAATTGAAGAAAAGAAGTCCACCATTGAAGGCCATTCAAAGTTTTGCTTTCGAAAATAGGACTTTTTGAGTTTGTTAGTTGTTTGGATTGAGTTTTGTTCCAATTGATTGAAAATATTAAAATGAGTTCAAAATTTAAGTTTGAAGTGATTTGGAGTAGATTTGAGCAAGATTTAAATTAAATTTCAGAAAAGACGCAAGAAAGAAGACGAAGTCAGTTTTTTTGTATAATTATGTATAATCTTGTATAATAATGTATATGAGTGTATAAACACATCTTATACACTTTTTTTATAACTTTATACAAGCTTCTGTAGAAGAACTTATTCCATGATTTTCAGTTGCAATTCTTGTTCAAAACGTGTCCAAATTTCCATTAAATGATTTCAAATTTTATATACAACCTCCTTATACTATTTCTAACAAGTCTAGATAACACTCACACCAAATTTCTCACAAAATCAAATTCGGAATTTAAACCTACATATTTAAGCTTGTTAAAAATCTAATTTTCACCGCCCAAATGGATTTGGTTTGAACTAATATTTGAGTCATAGTTACTGATTCAAAAATTAACTTAAAAGCCTGAGCAATCTTTTTTTAAAAATTAAATAGTAATTTTGAGAACCTATTGGAGTTGGATGTTGAATCTTAGCCTATTATTTTTGGCTAGTTAATTGTAAATCAAAATATGGACTACAAAACTAAAAAGTAGGGAGCCTATGCTAAATTTTCCCAACTATAAAATGTTCTCATCAAACTCAAAAGTCACCAAATCAAAAATAAAAAGCAATTTATAGCTTGTCATAGAAAAACCTAACGGGAAAGCTACATAGAGCAGAACAGAATTGAAGAAAGAAAATGATTAGCAGGAAAGACATCGAACTAATCAAGAAAAAGCATGCACATAACCAATATAAACAACATCAAAAACAGTATGTTAAAATAAAGACAAACCCCTTTTTTCATAGACTAAAATATATCCAAAAGGAAAAGGAAAAAAAGAAAAGAAAAACATAGAAGTACTTGAACCTTACCTGAGATTATTGATGGAATTTGCTTTAAGTCTTGAGTGCCGTGCCTTCCCCTGCTGGCCTCTATTTGAAGGTACTTTGGCCTTCACTATTTGGTTCTTCTCTTTTTTTTTGTTACTATTTTGGTTCTTCCTTCACTCTTTATAATTCCACCTCGATTTTCGACGACTATCAGTAGAATGGAAGAACTTTTCAGTTCACTGGAACGAATGACCATTGAGATATCTCTGTATCAATAAGGGATCCTTTGGTTGGATATATAAGGATAGTGGTGAATCAAGTCTATTAATAATATAGAGATTAGTAATGCTTGAATTAATAATACAAGCATTAGATTATTTTTTTATCAAATATTTGGTGTGGTATATTAAAAATTAAAATGCATTGTATAATTTCTAAGAAAATTAGTTGTTTATAAAAATGTCCTCTATATTCTTTAGCTTTAAGGAACTTTAAGTATAATTTTGTCTCTAACCATATATTAATACATACATTAATAGCCTTAGGGGTCGTTCGGTTTGAATGTTGCTTATGTCGGGATAAGTTATACTGGTATAAGTTATGCTAGGATCAGTTATGTTGGGATTGTTTTTATCCATTGTTTGGTATGTTTTATTAAATATGACAATTGCATAATTTGTAAGAAGAATGTATAAGTTATATCGGTGATAATTACCCCACCCTCTATAAGGTATAAGTTATTTCGGTGTTAATTTTAATCCCGGGATAACTTATACCTAGTTTGCTAACCAAACGAAGTATTAATGTGGTATTAAATTTTTATACCAGCACTATACCTTCATATACTTCATACCAAACGATCCTTTATTATTGCTAATACCATGATTTGCTATGTATTAGTTATACATAGGATAATACCAAATAGGTTGTATAACTGCTTGCATTAGTAATACATAAGTTAAAAGAATATACCAAACAAAGAATTGATAATACCAAAAATTAATACATATATTATTTTCTTTAATGGATCCTATCAAACGACCCCTAAATAAGATAATTGTCTTCATTTTCATCCCTGAGCAACGGAAGCTTAAGTGTTGGTTTGTGAAAAAAATACTATTTTCTTTTTTTTTTGAACGATGAAAAAATTAGTATCGGAATTACAATAAGGAATTAAACAAAGACAAAATTATTTAATTAATATACGTTATGTAGATGTTTGATTTTGGGAGAAGATCTTGGCACTTTGTTATTTAATTATTTTAATAATTCTGTGATTGTTATCCCGTATGGTATAAAATAATATCACAATTGGGGATCAACTGAAGCAAAAATAATTTTGGAATAAAAATCTAGCATGCCTTATTCCTTGTTTGATTACTAATCTTGGAATAAGTTATCCGGGATTAGAAAATTAGTTAATTCTAGGGTTGTGCATAATTGGTAAATACCGAATTACCGTACCGAAACCGAAAATTTTGGTATTTGGTATTCAATATGGTATTTGGTTTAAGTTTTAAACAATATTGGTAAGTATTAGATATGGTATTTGGTATTTTAATATGAAATATCGAAATACTGATACCATACCGAAATATATATTATATTACACAATACACATATTATTAATTATAACATAAATATAAAATTTTACTTTCCTTTATTCTCTAAGTTCATCAATTAACTCTAAGCAAGTAACAAGACATTTCTAATGATCAAATTTATTCTTTTATGTACAATTTTTTCTTTTGGGTTGATATTTGCTAGTTTTGGACAAAACTTTTGTGAACAAACATTTTTAGTTTTGTACTTTTGAGTACTTTAATTAAGAATATTATAGTCTATGACTATATGCACTAGTTAGTATTCAAACCGAATAAATCGAAGTTACCGAACCGAAATCGAAAGGAGAAAAACCGAACCGTACCGAATTTAATTAGGTACGGTATTGGTATAACATTTTAAGAAACTGAATACCGAAAATACCGAAACGAAATGTCTAAATACCGTACCGTACCGACCAAGGAACACCCCTAGTTAATTCTGGGATAACTTATACTTGCCACATGATGGAATAGTAATACCAGGATAAAACAGTAAAATTGACAGTCTCAGAAAAACAATCAATAAGAAAAAATATCAGTATAACTAATCTCATCGTTTGATACAATGGTGGGATATCCCATGAGATTTGTTATCCCACCTTCTATATGGGATAACTAATCACATCGTTTTAATGTAAAAGTTAATCCAGAATTAACTAATACCACAATCCAAACATAAAATAAAGTTAATCTCAACGTTAGTCTGTGGGGCACAATAGATTCGGTGTCTACTACGAAAGAGAGAATCCACAGAATTATTACCCTTAACCCCATGTACCAAACGACCCCTTTAGTATAAAATCATCCTTGGATTACTTGTACTAAAATAACAAATTCAACTAAATGGGGGATAAAATTATTTCATATTTTTGTTTTCAGACAGATTATTATCTCTATCCTTGTAAGTTGTAACAATCATATCCTTGTAAGTTGTAACAATCATGGGTCGCTTAGGTTGCAAACAATTTTAATCGAAATTACAATGCCAGGATTATAATACATAAATTTTAATAATAATGAGATTATTTGAATAATAAATTTTTCTCATATATGCTCATTGAACTAAAAATCGGTAAGTATAAGGTCAAATATATTTTGTTTCACACTAAATAAATTTGGACAAACTTTTATTATTAACTTTACTCTCAACTTTCCTAAAGAACTTAGGAAGAAGAGTTTGTGGTGTGTTATTCCCGAATTACTAATTTTAAAATTGTTATCCCATATTATAGTGTATAAAATATTACCACATTTATAATATAACACTATAAAATAACGTCGAAATTATTAATAGCATATTAAATTTAGAGAGAACGGAAAATCAGCTTGAATGAACATATGCGCCGTCCCAAATTAATTGTTTCACTTTTTCCAATCAGTTTGAATGCAACATCACGTTATGGCATGAAAACAGAATAAACTCAATAAGGAAAATGAGATTAAATAAATTATATAATAATATCATACTGAATAACAACAAAAGAAGGTCAACATCAGTGCGTATCTCTCCAAAAGTGCCGCCGCATCCGTATCGGATCCTTCAAAAATACATTAAATTTGAAGAATCCGACACGTACCCAACAACATTTTAAAAGAGTCCGAGTAACATAAGTGATACGCGCTAGCTAGGGAACAATTAATAACATCAAATCTCCATGACTATACCTTACACACATAAAATACTTAAGAAAAGGCTTAAAGCTTGCCATGGGAATAGTAAGTCTCATTAGGTGATGTTCGGCCAAAAATACATATATTTATCTATTGTTATCTTATATTCTAATACTTTTAATCGTCATTTGAGTATTAGTTATATTATTTTGTATGCTTAATATTATGTTTTAACTGTGTAAGAATAAAATGGTGTGAAGATGAAGAGATGTGGAGCAAAATTGGATAAAATACGAAAGAAAATGAAGAAATTAAAAAGAGGGGGACACCTTTGGG